AAAATAAAAACTCAAAAAAAGAAATATTGAGAATATTTAAAACTTTAAGAAATAAATTAAATGTAAATAAGTTAAAAAAATCTCTTGCACAAACATCAAACTACAAGTATAAGAATGTTCCAATTAGCATTATATGTAATAGCAAAAACCTGGAAATAACTCAAATGCTCATAACAATAAAATGGATAATAAATCAGATGATACTATGCCACCACAGAAAATGACTGAATACATATGAATCAGATGAATGGCTCTCAAAAACCTAATCTGAGTGAAAAAAGCAGTCACAAAAGTATATAGAAATGTTATTCCATTTATCTAACGTTCACAAACAAGGCCAAACCTAAGCAATATGTATTTCAGGATCCATACCTTTATGATAAACTATCAAGAAAAGCAGGGAACTGGCTAGCACCTAATCAGGATGGTGGTTACATCCCCTCAGTAAGGGAGGACATGATAGGAAAGGGACGCACATGGCTCCTTTACATTTTTTTAGCTGGTATGGAATCATAAGGGAATTTATTTTATTATCATTCTTTTAACTTGGCATATACATTGTTACCATGTGTGACTTTTGATTCTTTTAATAATTTAAAAAACTAGCACAAGGGGCCCCTGGGTGGCTCAGTCGACTGAGCATCTGACTCTTGATTCCAATTCTGTTCATGATCTCATAGTCTATGAGATCGAGCCCCATGTTGGGCTCTGCACTGACAGCACAGAACCTGCTTGAGAGTCTTTCCCCTCTCTTTCTCTGCCCCTCCCCTGCTTGTGCTTGTGCGCTCTCTCTCTCTCTCAAAATAAATAAACTTTAAAAATACATACATGCCCAAAAAAATACATACACACACACATGAATACATACTAGCACAAATAGACAGTGGGCACTCACACATATCCTAACCCATCCCCAGCCTGCAGGTTGGCCCAGGGGCCAAGAGCAAACCTCTGCACCCTGGAGATGCTATAGAGAAAAGAGCTCTGGTGTCCCAACTTCATACCTCAGCCCCATGTAACTTTAGCCAACTTCCTCTGTTTCTTCATCTGTGAAGAGTTCCTAGCAAAATCATTGTCCATGGGTAGAGACTTGGTGAATATTTGTTGAATGAATGAGTCAGTGATTTCTAAGATTCCATCATAACTTCCACCCTCATCCAAGTGTATTCCTGAGGGAGAAATTGTGGCTACAGCTTCTAGCACCCACCTCCCCACCACACACACAAATGAATATCCCAGAATTTGAAGTGGCACATCAGAAAGTTCTCTGTTCTGTTCGATCCAAACTTTTGGTATTTTAATGTTACAGATTTTCTCTCCCAAATGTCAGCTTCTCTTCTATTTTCCCTTTTGCTGTCACAACAAGCATACAAGTATTTTTGATGGAATTTTACCAAATGGCACATCTTACATTTTGTAAATTATATACATGCACACTCCTCTCTCGCCTCTCTGCCAAGTTCTGTCTCAGGGCCCAGCGACTTTGCTTCTTTGACCCTCATCTCCAGACTCAAATGCCCAGCCCCCAGGTTCTACGAAGAGCAGGTTATTCCTGGGCTTCAAGGGAAGCAGCAGGGCAAATGAGGAAGAATCAGCCCTCCTCAAGCAACAGGGGGTGCTTCCGTGTGACATTCACTAAAGTCCTGAGCACACCAGCTTAGGAATTCCAAGTCCATTCCAAATCACTCTTCCCTCCTTCTTGGCATCAATTTGCCTGGCTGGGGACAGGAAAAGGAACCTGGAGCCTAGCAACCCCAGGTTACAGAAATAGGATGGTGCCTTGGCTAAGTGCATGGGCATTAAGGTCAAAAAGAACCTCTCTGGGCCTCTTGTTCTTTATCTGTAAAACACAACAATAATCCAAACTTAGAGAGTTATTGAGTGGCATAAATAAATATATGTAATATGCATTTAATATATATAAAGATACTTGCAGATCAGCATCAAAAAAAAAAGTTGCCATATCCCCAAACCACTTCTGTTTGACTTTGGAAGGAATAAAACAGTCTTTACACTCAATTTGCTTTTTAATTGGGCTCATCTGCAGCTAGTGCTGCAGTGGTGGGGTGGGGGAGGGGCCCTGAGGAGCTCTGGAGGGACCATTTGTCTTGGGTATATCAGCAGTGTAAGTCCACTCACTGTTCTCCAACAGGCCAATGCCAGCCATGCTGAGAAAATACTCACAACCCACACTCATGGGCTGAAGATACTGCATCAAATAGCACATGGGTTGGAAAACAATCCAGAGACTAGGCTGTGCATAAGCAGCACAGTCAGGACAAGCAGTGGGAGTCAGAGTGGTTACAGTTTACAGAGAATATTTTAGGGCCGAAACTTGGCCTCAGAGGCCATCAAATCAACGGACCAACGTCCAGGGCCCACAAAGGTAGGAGGTGTTGCATGGAATCCAGTGAAAGAGCTTCAGCCTCCAGAAAAGCCTAAAGCCGAACAGATCAGCACCCAGGACAGCGACAATCAAATGTATGGCAGCGCTGAGGTGTTGCATTCACTCCCACCATCCAGATCAGAATCCGCAAACACGGCAGGTTGCCGCAGGTCCTTCCCCTGCACCATGCAAACCTCATGGAGCAATCATGGCATTTTCTATGGCTGAGCCCACATACAGCTTTCGAATCCTTCCCAACACAGCATTCAAGGCTCAACCAGTTGCCTGGTCTATTAGAGGAAGGCTATTTGTTTACCCTGTGTCTTTTGGAATCACTGATAAAGGCCACTCTGGTTGAAAACTAACTTCAAACCCCACCAAAGTCAGCAAAAGTATCCACATCAGAAAAAGGAGCACACCTTTTGGCTTGATTGGAGCGTTTGGGTAGGAGGGGAAAGGAGAGGGGCAGGGCAGTGTGTCTGCAGAATGACACATCCTAGCCTACTTCCACTACCTCAGAGGTCAGACTAACCAGTCCCTTGCCTTTCTTCCCATTTTCCCCTTGTCTTTTGTGAAAATTGCTTGAAATCCCCCAAGTTCTTATAAATGAGTTGGTTCATTCACACAGTGATAATTTCTTGGGTGCCAGATAATTTCTCTGTGCCAGGCATGGTGCTAAGCAACAGGGACACAGGTGCCAGTGTATAGCACCTGGCCTGATCTCCTGAAGCTCACAGCCTGGTGTGAGAGTCAGTGTCCGTCAAGAATTAGCCTTCATGAGTATGTCAGGACAAGCTAAGAGCAGGCCGAAAGAGGGAGATGTGTACCTGTGAGAGCCAGCTCCACAGGAAAGAGAGGAGCCTTCAGCCAGTAGGTACGGAGGCCCCTTTCCTTGAAAGTTCCCACCTCCCAGACCTTGGGGAAAACCAAGGCTTGAAAAGTGTCTATAGGCCACAGCATAAGGGGAGCAAAGATGTCGGAAGAAGGAGGGTTAGGGAGCTCGCAGACCCTACCCCACAGCATCCTCCAGCCCTGGTGGTGTCCACACCTCCCCACAGCCCAAACTCAGAGCAAACTGGATGCCTGGGTTGAAACATCAGTATGAAGGGTTCTCAGGGAAGGCTGAGCCCCTGAGAGACACCCTGTGGGCTCCTCAGGGCTATGCCATGACCTCCAATGCCACCCCACCACCACCACCACCCAAGGCCAGAAATTGAATGCAGGTGGGAGGGAGAAGTCAGGCCTCATACAGAGTCTAGTTCAAGTGCTTGGAGCCTCTAGTCACCCTTGTCTCCATCACCACCTCATTTCACTAGAGCACAGTGACTGTTTGCTCTTCCAATTCCTCCTGGAAGACTCTAAACAGCATATTTGCTCAAGAGCTGAGGACAACATTCCAGTCTTAGAGAAGCAGAGTATTTAGGCAAATGCAAACATATGCTGGTTTCTCTTCTTAGCTACATTCTTGGCAAAGGAATTATTTCACCAAGAGACAAATCAGGACTTTCGAGGGCCCATTCACTCCAACCTGGCCCCTGCTGTGGGGCTGCTGACACTTACCAGTTCCCACACCCTTTAAAGACATGTAATGTGAGTGAGTGGCAGTGGCTATAAAGGGTGGCATAGGGACCCCTGTGAGGGGACTACTCTATGTCCTGACCCTACTGGTCGCCTAGTGGTGATAAAATTGCATAGAAGCGAATACACATATCCAAGTGCCTATAAACTGGAGAAGGATGAAAAAGGTCTATGGATTGCATCAATGTCAAATCCTGCTTATGATATGACATGAGTTATACAAACTTGTTGCCCACGGGGGACCTGGGTGAAGGGTGCATGGGATCTCTCTGTGTTATTTCTCATAATTGCAAATGAATCTCAGTTATCTCAAAATTAAGTCATCTTTAAAAAACATGTAATGTGGAAACCATTTATTTCATCTTGGGACTAGGACTGGCCAGTTTTTACAAAGCAGTCATAAGAAAACCTAAAACTATTTCTCCAAAGCCCGTTTCTGTGCATTTAGAAAAGTATGATTTTTTTCATATGGGAGGTCTTCAAAAAAGTCACATTCAGCAATACCCACATGACCTCACCTGGCCCCATGACCCTTAGGATGCCCCTCCTCTGACCTATGTCCCAGCCTGTGAATCTGAAACTCAGGGCAGACCATGGTAGAGGGAGGCAAGGAGCTAGGAGGGCCAGGTGACCATCCATTGTGAGGGACAGTCTTTGAAGAGGAGTCTTCCTGGAGGACCATGCTGGCCAGCCTCCGCCTCTACCTACATGCAGCCCTTCAGATCCCTGCCAGCAGTTTATTAATATTTTATTGAAAACTCTAAGATGATTCAAACTTCAGCTGTCATGATAAGATGTTGTTGCTAGGCAACATTAGTGCCTGTCTACAGATCTGTTTTTGCAGCTCTTCCTCCACTGGCAAAGCTCAAGGTTAGGCCCTCGCACCCCAAAACCCATATCATTCAGACCACCAACCGCCACATACACCCAGCCCACTCTGAAGCACTCGGCCACCAGCCAGTGACCTGGCTCATGGGTCTCCCAATGCCCAACGTGCCTCCCAGAGGCCACAGAGTACGCCCTGCCCCCGACTCACCGTACTCGCTGTCGTAGAACATGACAAACTTCTGCCAACGCAGCTCTGTCACCAGCCTGAGCATGACGTCATTGAGGCGCACGGGCGGTCTGGAGGCCAATGTGTAGGCCTCACCATCAGGGCTGGGGTTCAAGTGGCAGGCAGTGCGCGGAGACCCCCCTGGGTTGCGCTGGACAAAGAGGTGTGGGATGTGCATCGCATCTGTGAGTGACTGCAGGGCGTTGGCAGACGCGCAGCCAGTCGACGTGACCAAGGCCAAAATCCCCTGGGTCATGAGGTCACAGGCTGGAAAGACAGGGAAAAGAGAAGGAGGGGTCAGCATGGGGACAGTGCTGCACTGGCTTCAACCCACATGGCCCATGCCTGGCAGCTCATGCCCAAGGCCCCAAGAAATGCTGCCCACCTCCAGAGACTGACTCGCTCCGGGCCAGGACGGCAGCTCTCACGTGCAGAGTCCCACTGATGCTTTCAGGGATCCCACCACCTAGATGTTCTTCCACCCCTTCAGCAGACGAGGAAATGGAGGCCGGGTGAGGCAAAATCATTTGCTGTAGGCTACTCAAGGAGGGACAGTATGAAAGGAATCCAACCCACATCTGCTTGAGACTCCCAACAGACCTGCCAAGTCAGCCATCCTGTTTCCTACCTGGGATGTGAGCCCTTTAAGAGCCAAGAACTCATTTTGTTGATCTATGTGTGCCCAAGGCCATGACACCAGCTGTGAATATACTGTATGCTCTACAATTGGTGGCTGGACTGAACTGATTGAGGCTGGAGGGAATGGATTACATCAGAAAGTCAGGGAGACACTTACCCCAGAGGACTCAGGTTGTAGGCAAAAAAAAAAAAAAAAAAAAAGGACAGAAACCCTAGGTCTTCTGGCCAAGTCCACTTAATGTATATCATAAAATACTGGGTCAAACCCCAGATGAAGCAGTCAGTTCCAGAAGCCCAGGATTACTCAAAGCCAGTAGATAATAACAAAGGAAGATGCTAGGCAGAGGAGGAGATGGAGGGAGGGAGCCGCCAGCCAGTTCTTGGGCTGTGGCCCTCGCGGCCCAACTTTTGGAGTCATCCAGTAACTGCGAGGGGTGCCCCTTTTAGCCACACACATACTTACGTCTTTTGGGGACATAGACCAATTAATAGAAAGATGCACCACCCAACACTGCAACCCACTGCACCAGTTCTGAAGCAAACATTTATTAATAATGCTTATGTGACAGAGGGATGTGGGAAAGCAGATGCAGCTTCAAAACACAGCCTGTGAATGTCAGCAGACCATCTGCTACAGACGGCAGACTTTTGAGCAACTTTGACAATGCAATTCTTTCGGTTGAGAGCCTTTGGGTTTATGTAAATGTCTCAGACAAGGCTGAGAGGAGGCCAAGAGCAGAGGAAACAACCCAAAGAGAAGGCAGTGGGAGCCTGGGAAGGTGAGGGAAGAGGAAGGCCCTCCACACCTTCAAACCCCAAAGGCCGGTTTCTCCCCACACAAAGGTGCTCACTGCGCACATTCATGAGCATCAGCAGGACGATGACTCAAATGCCCGCAGTGCTCCCCACTAGACCCTCAACCCCCCCACACACACAATGCAGGGGCAGGGGTGGTGAAATGAGATTCTTTGATGTCTCCTGGGAGTCACGCAGCCACCCATATGCTCTGAGCAACTCCCATCCAAACTTCACACAGCAGTTGTCTCCTAAACAGAAATCCAATTGCACCATGTTCCTGTTCAAGCCCTTCAGTGGCTCCCAAGAGCTTTGGGGACAGAGTCAAAGCCCTTCATTTTCGGGACAGAGTCTTGCAGGCTCCCCGATGCCCGAAGCTTCATGTTCTTCACATGCCCTGCCTGCTACGCCCAGGCCAACCTCCCCCTTTTCATCCCCTGGAACCCACCACATTTTCTGTTCACTCTTGAATTTTCATATTCATCAAGACTCAGACTCTCTATCTCCAGACTGGCAAAGGACCCCCTACCTCAAGCTCCCCCTGCACCCCACACTTCCCCTATCGGGGCACGATGCATTGCTTGTGTAACTGTCCATCTCTCCTAGGACCTCTAACTCCAGGAGGCCATGGGCTGTGCCTTTTCTGCTCATCATCGTTCCCTGGACACACATCATGTCCAGCACATGGCAGTCGGCAAAGACTGGTGCACTAAGGCAGTAAACCTGGACATTTTTATGCCCTCTGGTCAATAATTCCACTTTAGGCACCTATCCAAATTATGGGAATGGTTCTAGATCCCAAAACCTTCACAGGATACTTATCCATGCTCTTGAAATATTGCTCACAGTCTGAAAGATGCCGATAGGTGAGTGGTTATGAAAAACGCTCCATTTGTTGAAAGCATACATAGCCTTTAAAATTATTTATGAAGATACTATAATAACATGAGAAAATGCTTGTCATAAAAAAGTTATGTAAAAATAATACAAAATTGTATGTCTTTTATGACATCAATTAAATAAAACTCAACACGCACGAAACACCAGAGGAAAATATTGCAAAATGCTAAAAGTGCATTTTTAGAAGAGGCCTGAACTGATTTTCCTTCTTTTCCATATTTTGCCAAAATTTCAAGTCATGAACAGATCATTCTTTCAGAAAAGGAAAATAATCTTCCAATAATGGGTACGTTGTGAAGCTATGTAGGAGGAGGGACTATTTTCTGATAATTTTCCCTGTGCCACATGCTGTTGAGTGTGTGTGAGTGTGTGTGTGTGTATGTGTGTGCACGTGTGTGTGTGTTGAGTACTTTATGTATGCGTCATTGTGTCCATTTTCCAGATAATAAGTTATGAGGCCACGCAACCAATAAGAAACAGAGCTGAACCGAGATGCCACCAGTCTAAAAAGCACTTCTGAGAGGCAGGTAAGTGACAGCAGCAGGGCACGAAATTATACACACCCCAGGACTGTAACTAAATAAAAACCTTGCTTATGGAAAAGGCAAGAGAAAATGCCAAAAGGCAAGAAAAGTACAAGGTGCTATGATACTGAATGGATTTCTCTTTATTCTCTTGTACATACTTTCTTTAATGCCAATACACCGAGTTTCTAACTCTAAGAAGTAATCATACAAAATAAACTGGACATCACAAGGATGGAAAGCTGTTCAGACACCCAGCCAAGGACACCCACGAGCATGTTCCTGGCTGCCATCACTCACTCTGGGCTCTCTGCTGCCCACCCCATCCAACTCCCTCCCAGGTCATCACCTGACTTCTGATGGCAAACCCTGTGCCCATTCCATATATGCCAGTTCTGAAGTCCCTGAACCTCTCTGAGCCTCAGTTTCCCCACCTGGGTAGGCACCCCACTGTCACTGCGGGCTGGTTCCTTCCCTCCTGTGTGTTTCACACATATACTCAACATCCCCTACCGTATGCAAACCTCTGTACTGTGCACGGGGGAAGCAAAGGGCATGATGACCACCAGCCCCAATCCTGACGAGTGTGGATCCACCAAGAAGACACACCCCATTATTCAGCCTGTGAGGAAGGGGAGATGAAGCTCCTTGGGACCCAGAGAAGGGTGACCTCAGGGCCTCACTGAAATAGGATTTAAACCAGCTGAAATGAAGGAAAATAGCATGAAAGAGGGATGCATTGTGACAAAGACACAGGGGCCAGGCAGCAGGAACATGCTCAGGGAACAGTTGGCTGACTGGTCACTTTGCCCCAGTCCTGCTGGTAGCCAGGGACACTAACTTCTTGGCTGGGCCTGGGCTCACCGGAACAGTAGAAGCAGCCCTAAAAATCTCACTAACCGAAGCTCCAGTTTGGGCTCCTCCAGTCACATGAGTGAGAGTTCCGGAGATCCGGTCTGTCCTACGATGTGGCCGGTGCTGTGCCTGGCACGCCCTACCCTGAGAGTCCTGTGTCTGGAGAAGCCTGGACCAGGATGCTGGCATCTCAGGGGACACTGGCAGGAATGTGATTGTGAGGCTGTTCCGGAATGCTGGCGGAGCCCATGGGTCCTTTCTGACCTCCATTTACTGTTAAATGAGGATAAGAAGCACTAACCAGCAGAGCTAGGGGAACATCAACTCAGGACATGAACAGTAAATGCCAACCCCTCCTGGGCACAGGAAAGAAGTTAAATAGAAGCCAGTTTCCTGCCACTCTCCTTGGGCATCCCATCTCCCCCATCAGTCCCCATCCAAGTCATGCCCAGGAACCCAAGAAATAGTAGTTAAGACAGAGAGCACCCTCACTCCTGCTGCTGACAGCTGTCCCCGTAGAGGTGGGCGTCACTGCCCCACCCCTTGTACAGCCACCTGCAGCACCACGCAAGCTCCTCAAGCCGCCAGCCTCGGGAAGTGGGTGGATAATTAAGGCTGGAAGCTTCTCCCAGGCACTAATGGAGAGGCCCGATGCAAGTCAATTTCCAATCCATTGTGAATGGCCTGCTAATTGGGGCACTGTTGAAATAATGGTTATTTAGAGGCTCCTAACATAAAAATAATATGATCAAAATACATCAGATCAAAGCCAAATCAGCTATTAGCTTAATCAAGGTTGTGTGCTCATTCCCGGGACAGGACGTTATACAACCCACATCCCCACTGCAGACAGAGAGGCTGAACCCCAGTGACAGGGTCCCCTGGCCTGAGTCTGAATCTGGGCCCTGCCACAAACACACTGTGGGACGCTGGGCAAAGTGCCGGCCCTCTCTGGGCCTCTGTGTTTTCTGTCATGTAAAGATGATGGCACCCACTTCACAGGGCTGTTGTGCTCATCCCGTGAAAGGTGTCGGTATGTGAAGAGCCATTTGCACTGCCTGGCACGCAGTAGGGATGCAGAAGCCACCACTGTTATTGCCTCTCCTGCTTAGAGGTGTTTCTGCAGCTCACTACAAGATAAGAGCCTTTGTTATAATTCTTTGCCTCCACTATCATGTGGTCATAAAGCTGATCTCTCTCTTGATTGCAACAATGCAGGCTTGATAGCTTGATAAGGGCCCCCTGAGAGTGGCTCATCAGCTGGGAAAGCAAGAAGCAGAGATGAATGTGATGATCAGCTTTGAACCCTTCCTCGAGCTCGGTGTCCTAAGAGAGCAGAGGGACTCTGCAAAGATCTATGCACTTTCCCACGGCATCCCAGGAATTGGGAGAAAGAAGGTACTCAGAGCTCGCACTTGGGCCCAAAGGAGAGGACCCACGGGCTCCCTCAGCATTCCGGGACAGCCTCATAGTCACAGGGGGACCTGCCAGTGTCCCCCGAGATGCCAGCATCCTGTGGATCCAGGCTTCTCCAGACATGGGACTCTC